TTGGTCCACGACCATTACGAAGTCGTGGTTTTCAAGGAGTAGCTCGTAGCTGGGCTGCGCTTCCTGCTCCACCCCTTCATCATAGAAATTATTAAGTTTTTTAACGTCACTATCGATCAACTACACCCGAACTCCATCTGTACTATTGTTGCTTTGATCTCGCTCTTCCACGAGTATAATCGACCTCTCACTCTAGACATCTTTAGCACAATTTGTTCCATTAAGAAAAATTCTTCTTGCCAGTTCGGCGACACCCGACAGAGCTACTATATCTCACCTTGCCCCGGATTTAAGGTCCTGTTTGGTAACCCAAACAAGGTATCAGCCTGGAAGAGAAGGTACCTTTTTGTTCGGAATCCTAAAGGATGGCCATTCCCAACTCACTGGCAAGTGGCCATTAAGGACCCTAGGGTGAGGCTGGATGTAGAGACCAGGGCAGTCATCCATTCTTAGAGGGACCTTGGCCTTGAGATGGAAGATTTCTTTGCCGAGGAGAAGCTTGTGCGAGCTGGGATGAGTCCTCCTATTAGACCTCTACCTCGTTACACACATTACTTCTCCCTTTTTTCTTTTTGCACTTACTTCAGTTCGTAGCTGATTGGAAAAATTCTCTTTTTCTTCTCTTTTGTAGAAGCTATGATGGGTGTCGACGCCGCTAACCTATTAAAGAGCGTTCAGAAGGAGAAGAAGAGAAAGGCCTCAAAAAGGTCCTGTTGAGAGGAGGCTACCTCTTCAATTTCTGCCGAACCCAAGGTCGCAGCACCAAAGCCATCTTCTGTTGAGTTCCCAGGGGAGGAGGTTTGCCCCCAACCTCCGGTTGTTGACCTGGAAGAGGATCAGGATGAGGAGACCCCGCCTTGCGAGCCCAAAGGTACTTCAGTGCCTGAACCTCAGCCTCCCTCAGCGAAGGAGAGCATAATGACTCCATGGAGGACCACATGGAGACCGACCTACCTGTTGGAGGAGATTCTAGAAAATCTGATGTTTGAACATACCTCTTTTCTTAGACCCCCCTATATAGTGTATGTCCCGGGCCTTTGAGCTCGGTTATAGTAATAGTTGCCATGTACTCGGAACTTTTTGTTAATGAAGCATAATGATTCAAAAAGTCTTATGTGTGCAAAAATCTTTCTAAGTAAAAAATTTTTCTAAGTGTCGATTATCTCGCAGTGCCTAGCTAGCGAGTTGGACTCCAGGTAGGAATAACCTTGTGTTGTTGTTCATCGAGGTGGATAGACACTGTAGGGTATATACCCGACCTGTCTATGAATGGGCTACTTACTTGCCCAAGCTGAAGAGGCGATTGGGAATCGTTACGCCTATGCCGAGGAGGCGACTAGGACTTATTGTAGTGCCGAGGTCTTTTGTCAACTCGACACCGTAGCCCTTACGCTTCTGGGAGTGACTCACAGTCCTCTCTCCAGTCTGTTGTCTTTTTTGACCAGTTATCATCTTTTTTGACCAATTCGGTGGTCCCATAGACTTAGAGGAATTTTACCTTGGAGTTATGGGCTCATTAGTAGTACCCTTTTAGGTTATCGATGTTCCATGCTCAAGGTACCTGCTTCCCTTCCAATGTCTCGAGCTCATATGTGCCTTCCCCGAACACCCGCCTTACACGATATGGACCTTTCTAGTTTGGTCCGAGCTTACCTACGCCGGGCTCAGGTACCATAACTTTCCGGAGAACCAGGTTGCCGACACGAAACTGTCGTTTCCTGACCCGGGCGTTATAGTACCGAGCTACTTTCTACTGGTAGGCTGTAGTCCGAATGTAAGCCAGGTCTCACACCTCCTCTACTAGGTCCAGGTTGGTACTGAGCCCGTCATCGTTTGTTTCATCATTATAAGCCTCAAATCGCAATGTGAGTACCTCAATTTTTGCTGGGATCACTGCCTATGTGTCGTACATGAGGTTGAAGGGGGTTTCACCCATCGCAGTCTTGATAGTAGTTTGGTAGGCCCAAAGGACAATGGGCAGTTCATCCACCCACAACTCCTTTTCTCGAGCTAAGCGAGCTTTCAATCCGCGAAGTATCACCTTGTTAGTTACTTCTGCTTGTCCGTTTTCTTGGGGGTGTTCCACCGAGGTGAAGTTTTGATGAATCCTCATCTCGACACACCAATTTTGAAACTTAACATCTTCGAACTGCTTCGCATTGTCGAATATCAGCACCTGGGGTAGTCCGAAACAACATACTATGCTTTTCCAGAAGAAATTTAGTATGTTATGTGTTGTGATTGTTACCAGGGGTTTGGCTTCCACCCACTTCGTAAAATAATCTACTGCTACAACCAAGAACCTCCTCTACCCTGTTGCTGGCGGAAAAGGACCAAGGATGTCGATTCCCCACTACACGAAGGCCCACAGGCTGGTGAGGTATTTCAAATCAGCAGCAGGTTGGTTGTGGATATTGGCATGCCTCTGACATTTGTCACACTTTTTGATAAGCTCGAGTGCATCTGCCTTCATTGTGGGCCAATAATAGCCTTGCCTTAATACTTTCTATGCAAGGGCTCTACCCCCCAAGTGTCCACCGCACAAGCCTTCATGGGTGTCACGAAGTACGTGCTCAGCTTGTGAGGGTCACAGGCAGTGCAGGTAAGGGAGCGTGAAGGATCTTCTGTACAGCTTTCCGTCTATGAGGACGTACTTGGCTGACTGATGCTTTACCCTCTGAGCCACATTGCATTCTGCGGGTAGGGTCCCGTGGAGCAGATAACCAGCAAGCGGGTTGATCCAGCTCGGTTTCGCTTGCGACACGGGAGCGACCTCTTCTGCCCCCGAGAATGCTGGGCCGAGGTAAGTCCTCTATGTACACAGTTCGCATAGTGTTGTTGCTCGTGCTCGCTAGACGGGACAAGGCATCGGCCTCAGCGTTCTTGGACCTCGAAATTTGCCTAATAAAGCAGAAGATGAAGCTACATAGGATCTCTCTAACTTCGTCCAAGTAAGCTTCCATAGTTGGGTCACGGGCTTCGTACTCACTAGTGACTTGGTTGACCACTAGTTGTGAATCGCTGCATACGATGAGGTGCTTTGTTTTCATTTCCCTTGCTAAGGTCAGCCTGGCAATCAACGCTTCGTACTTTACCTCGTTGTTCGATGCCTCAAATTCGAACCGGAGAGCATACTCCAGCTTCACCTTGCTTGGGTCGTATAGTTTCGGTCCTACACTAATTCCCTACTGGTTGGATGAGCCATCGACATGGAGGATCCAGGGCTCCTCGTCCCAGATCGGTACCACTATGATTGGGCTGGTGCCGCACTGGTTGACGCTCCCGTCGTGTGAGGGAGCTCGGTCAATTCGGGGGTCGCTGCGCCGAACGTGCACTTTGCTACGAAGTTCTTCAAGACCTAGGCTTTGACTGTTGGTCGTGGCTCATACCGGATATCATATTCACTCAATTTGATGGACCACTTCGTTAATCTTCCATACACCCCAGGCTTAAGCAGAATCTACCTCAGGGGTTTGTTGGTGAGAACAATGATAGTATGGGCCTGGAAGTATGGGCAAAGTTTCTGGGTTGCTATGACCAGCGCATACGCTAGTTTCTCGATCTCCAGATACCTAGTCTCTGCATCCTGCAAAATTTCACTAACATAGTAGATGGGTCGTTGAACCTGATCTACTTCTTTGATTAGTACCGAACTAACTACTTTGTTGCTTGCAGAGAGGTATAGCTTTAACACGTCCCCTTCTTCAGGCCGAGTTAAAACTGGAGCAGTACTTAAATACCTTTTTAGCTTGTCAAAAGTGAGCTGACACTCTTCGATCCATTTGAAGTTCTTGCTCTTTTTTTATATCTTTAAAAAAGGGTAGGCATCGGTCTGCCGATTTAGACATGAAGCGGCTCAGGGCAGCCATCTGGCCAGTCAGCCTCTGGACTATTTTTTATTTTCCGGGGTGGTTTCATATCTAGGATCGCCTTTATTTTTTCTGGGTTGGCCTCGATGCCACATCGGTTGACTATATAGCCTAGGAATTTACCCGAAGTGACTCCGAAGACGCATTTATTTGGATTTAATTTCATGTTATATCTTCTTAAATTTTGAAAAACATCATTTAAATCATTCAACAAAGAATTTGAAAGATGGGTCTTCACGACCATGTAATCAACATAACATTCTACTTTATTGCCGATCAACGGCTCAAAAACTTTGTTTACAAGGTGCTGGAATGCTGCCCTAGCATTTTTCAATCCAAAGGTCATGACCTTGTAACAATATAGCCTGAGCTCAGTTATGAAAGCGGTCTTGTCTTCGTCAGCGGGATCTATCCTAATTTGGTTGTAACTGGAATAGGCGTCCAAAAAACTCAGCAACTCATGACCTAAGGTCGCGTCCACTAGGCGGTCGATCTTGGGTAGTAGGAAGTAGTCTTTCGATCAGACTCTGTTCAGGTTGGTGTAGTCGATGCACATGTTCCACTTGCCATTGGCCTTCTTCACCAGAACTGGGTTGGCCACCCAACTTGGGTAATGGACTTCCCTAATGAAGTCTGCCACGACGAGCTTCCCAACCTCGTCATCAACTACCCTCCAACGTTCCGGGGCGATGTTGCATTTCTTTTGTCTTACTGGCATGATTAAAGGATCGACATTAAACTTGTGAGTTATAATTTTTGGATCAATCCTAAGCATCTCTACCGCAGACCAAGAAAAAATATCTAAATTTTCAAGTAAGAAACTTATTAGCTGGGTTCGAAGTGGTTCGTTGATCGAGGCAAATAGTGGTATGTGGACCGTTTCTTCTTTTGGGGCAGTTCGCTCATCGGTATACTTCGCTGGTTGCTTGAGTCCGACATCCTTTGCCAGTTTTGCTTTTCCTTTCAAAGTGGCCACGTAGCACTTGCAGGATTTGAGCTGGTCACCTCACACGACTCCCACCTCGTAGTCAGTTAGGAACTTCATTGCTAAGTAGTAAGTGGACACTATGACACGCAAAATGTGCGTGATAGGCCGACCTACAATCGCATTGTAGGGGGAGGGAGTCGTGACTACCAAGAACGTGTGCTCAAATTGCACAATGTTTGGCCACGTGCCGGATTCCACGGTACTATGATTCGACCAAAAGGCCTAACCTCCTCGCCGTTGAACCCTACCAAAGATGTATCTGTTGATTTCAAGTCGCTTTGCTGTAACTGTAATTTGTCAAAGGTCTCCTTGAAGAGTATGTCTGCTGAGTTGCTTGAGTCTACTAAGATGCGTTTCACCTCGAAGTCGTCGATCCTTAGCTTCACTACTAAAGCATCATCGTATAGGTACTGGATCCCGTGCGCATCATCCTTTGTGAAGTAGATCGGTTCTTTGAGCCAAGGTTGCTTTGGTGGGTTGTCGCCTTCGTTCTCCAATTCGCGTACCAAGATCCTCCCAGTTGCTGATGTACATCCGACAATTATGGACCCGCCGGTGATCATATTGGTCACTCCACGGACTGGCCTTTCCTCTAGCAGCGTTCGAGGTGGCTGCTCATTCTGCCTGTTGGTCTCGGGGTCTTTTCTCCTTTGGTCCCCTTGTCGATTTGCCTGTCGGTCTGCTTGTCCCATCTCTTCTTGTAGTATGTAATTCTTTCGGTACCCGCGACAGATAAGTTCCTCGATCTCATCGTGGAGATTCTTGCAATTCTCCGTGCTGTGTTCATGACCTCGGTGGAAATGGCAGTAGACATTCGGGTTTCTTGTTGTTGGGTCTCCCCTTAACCTGGGAGGCCATTTGACGAATGAGGAATCCTTAATAGCCATTAAGATCTCTCCTCGCTTAGCATTCAAAGGTGTATAGTTTGTTCTCCCCATGGGCGGGGTCCTGGAATGCCGACCTGGGTTGGTTAAGTCTGAAAGAATTTATGGATGCATTTTTGTATAGTTATCTTTTATTAGGTTTTATGGCCTAATTTAAGAATAGAATTGATGAAATTATATTTAAATTTCATTTAAAAATATATACATACATATTATATATATATATATACATGCATATATAATTAGAATAAAAAATATATTTTTATATGGAAAAATCTATGATGCTGAAAAGACATGGTACCAAAAGAACTTGACCAATTTTATCGATTAACCCGTTTATGATACCGATTGTTTGTCACAAAGTTTTTTGGATGTGATGTCTTTCCAGTATCATAGTCCCCCATTGAATTGGACCAGGCTCAAATTGGACTCATATATACTACCTAAGGCCTCAACCGAAGCCCAACCCACATTAAAGTCAGACGCAAATTTTCTAACTAAGCCCAATCGGTAAAAAAACTTAGATTGAATCGGGTCGGACTCAGGTTGGATTAACCCAAATTGCAGCCCTAAATGATAGCATAGGTCTCACCTCGAGGGCCCAAATCTAATACTCAGGTTGGATCAAGATACTTTGGGTAATGGGGTCCTTAGAATGTTGTCAGTGATAAATTCTCTCTGCCATTCTTTCCTCATATCTCTCTCTCCACCCTTGCAACTTGCCAATGAGGGTCTACACTACGCACATGCCTTCTGTGGGCTGAGAGACATGATCTATGGATCCTGAAAGAGGATCTTGTCTATCTTAGCTTTTTTCAGTTGAATTTCCATTGGAGTTGGTATCGCGGAATAAACCAATTTGATTATATTGCTCGACGTGGGTCCCTGGAGGGAGAGAAACAGATAGAGAGGAAGAATTAGGAACTCTCTATTTTCCTCCTTTCATGGAGTTCCACTCACTCACTTTTTCATTTCTCATCAGGAAGACAGTAGTTGCTCTTATCGATACAAACCGACACACAGACGTTTGGAAAATAATTCTTGACCCAGCCTGCACCATTGACTCGGTGGTTATTTATCTCGGGTTCGGATCCACATTCATTTGACAGCCGGGCTCAATGTTGTTTGTTCAACACTCATCACCCAACCAACCCCGTTTGGATACAACCCAATGTATTGGGTATATATATTTGGTGTGATTGGCATTTGAATATTACAGGTTCCAATGGAAGTTTTATTATTTTTAGGCATCGTTTATTGGTATTTTGCAGAGGTAAATTGGTCAATTGAGTAATTGATTATGATCTCCACATTTTTATGTCGTTTTAATGAATTTTATAGTAAATGAATTTTCTGAAAGTATTAATAATCTGGCTAATTGATACCCGTCCTAGAGGGTGGATAATTTGTTTATGTGACTGTCGATAATGCTAAATCCCTCCTACCCCTCTCTTTACTCGGATAAATTATATGAAATTAGATCACTTGACAACAAAACACGTTTCAACATTTTACCAATATAATCTCACACTGCACATTTTATACACGGCAGGTCCCAGTCTCATGGTAAGATATAACTTGAGTTGAGACGTTATATCCCACAAAAAATGCTGAAACCGAACTTATCCAAACAATTTTGGCCAGGGAAACACTTTGAAGATAAATTCACCCACTGTTTTCAAAATCGGACTGGACCGGACGGTTGGACCGGAAATCAGGAATCGGTCACCTGACCGGTTCTATTTTCCTCCAAAACCATTTTTTCCCCCAAAATTGTTGATTTTGGTCAACAAACCGCTGAACCGACAAGTTAATCGTTCGAATGGTTTTAACCGTTTTTCAAATTTTTAAAATTTTTAATTTTTTTAATTTTTTTGTCAGAACAGGCTGTTCGTTCAAATCGAATGATCGGACCGTTCAAACCGGTAACCGGACCCGTGACCGGTTTCATGAATTCACCAACCCAAATAAGTTAAAACTAATGGGGCTTTAGTGTACCTTGGACCTTGGAATGAGCAACTCCCTCCAAATATCCAATAAGCTGCATAGAGAAAAAGAAACCATGATCCCAAGGGATAAATAGGAAAGCCCTTAAAAGGCTAAGCTGATCTAAGAGCTAGTAAGGAGGTGAGCAGCAGGGAGATATCCTTTCCTAAAAGGGGCCATCAAAGAGACTAAAGAATCTGTTGTTCAAACTTCAAACTTGAAAAGCGAATTCCACTCACAAGGCAATTGGGTTGGGCCACTTTGTAGACTTGCAGTATGCAGCGTTCTAAGTTTGTTTGCCGAGGACAAAAAGACTCCAATACACAAATGTATGTCCTCAGAAAGAGGGAGGGACTCCGGTCCGGACTCTCTCTCTCTCTCTCTCTACTGACTACTGCAACTCTGCAATGTGCATCAGTAATTTTTATTTTGTTGGTGGTAATTATTTACGTTATTGAGAGAAAGGGAAAACGTACCCATTCCAATTCAGAACGTCGACGGTGGGAAACCCTATAAAAGCTGTATTGCCGCATAACAGGGAACAGAGAGTGGGGCCCATACGGAATGTGGGGGAATCGCATCCATGCATCGATGGTTGTCATGTCATATCATGGGAATGCCAGTATGGGGGGTTTTGTATAATTTGAGCTGACGATCCATAAATAACTTCAGCTTGTAAGGACCAAGGTGGCCCCTCCCCCCCCCGACCTCGATTACTGTCACCGGATCCAATGGTGGTGGTTTCAGTGATCACTTCAGTATTAATCACTTAAGCCTCACGTCTTTAACGTAAGAGAGATTCGGCTGGGGAACGAGAAAAGAAAGCGGCTGACAGCGACTGACCGAGTGGTGGAGAGGGGGAGCCCGGGCATCGAGGGACGACGCTCCATTCCATCGGCTGAGCTCAGCTTTGACGGCGACTTCCAGGTTCCAGCCCCGGGACTGGCCGACTAACCGGCAAGGGTAGCAGAGTAGGGGGTGCTCTCCCGTCGTTTTCCGCTGCCGGGGCACGGCCAAATATTGAAAAAGTCGGCACAGACATGGCCATAACGTGTCGGTTTTGTTATTATCTGAACGCTTCTCGCGTTTCCGGACGGCACGCGCGGTCAGGTACGTTGGTAGGTGTAGGACATGAGGTGGGGGCGTAGGAAAAAAAAAAAGAAGATAAAACTCAATAAACAGAAACCGTTTGTGAACAGACATTGTTTTTTCCCTTTTCTTCTTTTACTTTCCCTGACCCCTACGATATTTCATGGCATTTATCCTAGACCCACATACATGTGTACGTGCCGTGTTTGTGTTTATGCCTGAGAGAGAGAGAGAGAGAGGAGAAGAAATTTTAAAATTTTAATAGATAATTGGTGTTAGTTAACGTTTGCTAATGGTCAATTATTTGGTTTCTTTTTCTCTGGGGATCACCATAGTCAGTACAGTGTGATTTGAAGAATAAAACAGAGTATTAATACAGATTGGAGAGTTTTCTTGGTCAATTTAACCAAGTTTGTTGACATTCACTCGCATTATTGTACTAGATTGATAAAAAAAACGTGGATTGACAGAAGGAGAAGATCAAAAGTGAAAAAAAAAAGTTGGCTGCTTATGGGGGGTCGGGTTAAGTTTAGTCCTATATTTTGTCTTAATAAGACACGCTAAAAAAAGCAAAGCTTCAGTTGTCCGGCCTCCTTCACAAGACCAACCAGACACACAGAAGTTTCAGTTATGGTGATTGGAAAAGGACTCCCGACTCCACTCCACACATGTGATGAATGTGAAGGCAGTCCGAGATGTGTATGTATATATATTTTAATGTTTCTCCTACTGTGGAAGGTGCTATTCACAGTCCAGCACGACTGGGTTGCCAACTTCGAAGTCCCTGTCGGTAGGGTATCTCTCTGTTTCTCATGGAATGTGTTCCACTTCCACATAGTAGTATATGTTGATGGGGTTACATCAAGCCCATTTGCTCTTTGTTCTATATGATCTTTCACTTTGTAGGTAAGCCAGGCTTGGTGCACACCTTCCTAGGTTACCTCTTGGTCTCAGTTATAAGTCCAGGACCGTAGTCCTTCCCACTAGTCCTACCCCTTTTTTTGAACATCATGCGGTGCATTTTGCTAGGGTTCTCGATCTCTAAATGGGTTGAATTCGGGTACCATCTGTCCATACCCGAATTATATCTATGCCCTATTATTAAATTAAAGTATTCAAATTAAATTAGCTAGAATATATAGCTAATATGACATTGCATACATACATGCATGCTAGCTATTAATAAGAAAGAAGCTTAAGAGTAATTAATTTCCATGATGCTTGAATAATATATAATCTGTAGCTTCTTTAGTTAAAATACAGTAATAAATATGGATGCCAATTTTTTATAGTTATTAATATCAACGCATCAAAAAACGACTTGGAAACGGAATCATTATGGCCATTGGTTTCTGGGTTGATGGTCCGATTGCTTGGTTTGAATGAATGGGCCTGTTCTGACAAATAAATTAAAAAAAATATAAAAAATGGTTAAAACCATTGAACAGGCTGACAGATTGACGGTTCGACCACTCGGATCAACGGATTGTTGACTTTTTTAATGGTTTTTAGCCGATAACCAGGTTTGGGGTAAAACAGAACTGACTGCCTAAACGGTTCCCAGTTCGACCGTCCGGGTTAACGACAATTCAAAAAGCAAGATTAATACCCATATATTTATAAATTATATAGGATTCAGATCTTAACCGGTTTGGATATACCATTCACACAACCCTAGCTATAATTAGCATAGACTTACACGGATTGGAGGAAGCTTAGAAATGAAATGATTTCATGGTGGCTTAATTTTTCTTTATGGGCCCATTCATTTTCACTTAGTTGGATAAGTGATAAAATTTGTCCAGATAAATTTGGTTCCATCATTCTTATGTGATATAAGTTATATGGGTAAAGAGCGAGACGAGAGGGAGAGAGTGCTATCCAGGCACATGTAAGTTACTTACCCACCCCTTCACGAGGGTATCAGTTGCCCATATAACTGCTACTCTCCAGAAACTTTGGGATCGGGGCCTATATTACAGAGTACTAGCTAGTTCACCATTTTCATTTAAAATGGATTCACTCGCTGTATGTTAGCAAGCTAGGTTTTTTCTTGAAAACGATCCTTTTACTCCAGAAACCCAAATTGAACCCATTTCAGGTGACAGTAATTGGTGGATTTTACAAAATGAAATGGTTCTTTTTGAGGTTGCATCCAAAATGACTAATATGGCTAAACCTCAATAAGAGCTTCCAAGTAGGTGGAAACTTCTCACAAACTAACCAAAAAATTAATTATTCTCTTTAGTTAAACAACAACAGCGAGTGAATCAATCATGCTAATTTTAACCCTAATTTGGCTATCTACCAAAAAAAAAAAGAAAAAAGGAAAAGAAAGACCTAATATGCCAACCCCTAACCCTAAGGCTGAACCACATCATTTTAACCAAAAGCTGGCTGCCCGCTGCCCCACGTGTGAGAAAGCATGTGTGCATAACCCACCAACCGTTTGATTAATTAATTCAAGCATGAATCATTATGTACCATTAGCACCACACGGGAGCAATCATCTTGCTTGAT